CTTCCGCTCTTTGGAGTTTTGTTTATTCCTTTTGGCAAGCCAAAAACAAAGAAAGGCGGGGAAAGGGGGGAATTATCCCCAGGAAGGGGAAAATTTTTTTGAGGGCTGGGGCAAAAAGAAAAAAGGTTCGGCTTTAAAAGCAAAATGCCCCCCCCCCCCCCGGGGGGGGGCCGTGTTCCTCCCTTATATTGCCCATACGGGGATGTGCTGTTGGACAAGGTACATGGGTTTTGTTTTCTCTCTGTCCTAAACAGGGTATATATATAATTTCGTACGAGTCTGCCCTAATTATAAGCGGGATATTGCCTGCCCGATTGATTTGATTTTCTTGATACGATTTGTCTTTACTCCAGCATAAAAAAGCAATGAATATAGCGTGAATTTGCTCTATTACAATTGCCAATAAATGGCTTTGAACAAAACGGTGTGCATTTTGTCCTTTGTCTTAAGCAGGGTAATAAAGTTGAGGTTGTTGTCCTAAACAGGGTATGTATTTTAGGATTTTTTCGTCCTAAAGAGGGTCAGGGTTTCGAACCCTCTGCGGCTCACCCGTGACTAAATACTGGTCGAGTACCCCTCCACCGGGTAAACACCATCAATATAACGCTCTACAATTATCCATATAAGGCTCTACAATTGGCCTTGAAATAATAAAAATTAATGATTGGTTTCACTTTATTTGGCTCAGTTAGGAGAGCACCGGTCTGCTGAGCGGGAGGTCGCGGGTTCAAACCCCGGCCCGACCAACACTCAGGGTCTTTAAATAACTGAGAAGAAAGTGCTGCCTTTGTAATGACATCTTCAAACGGTTAGAATTTCTAGTATTCTCTGATAAGGACAAACAACCGTAGGTCCCGTCTAACAGCACTTTCACTTATCTGGTTCTTTTGGGACGTAAAAGAACCCACACCACTGTTCGAAAAGAGTAGGGGACGTAGACCCCGGTGGTTTGGCCATCCTTTCCTGGGCTGGGTGGGTTATGTGTTAGGAGAGATCTTAAAACAGGGATATCGACCCTCATGATCGTCCTTCAGATGTCGTAATTGCTACCTGTAAACAGTGTATGTATATTCCGTTAGGGTGGACAAGATGTACGACTTGTTAAGAGAGCAGACTGACATGTTAAAGGAGCTTAATCAACTCTGTCGTGCCAAGGAAGAAAAGCAAAAGGAGGAGAAGAAAGAAAGCGAATTTAAATTACCAGGAATGCAAATGTTTTCCAGTCTTCCTCAACTTCCAAAGTTCTAGATAAAAGCCACTGTTACCTTTCATAAGAGAAGTTAGTAACTATAGATAGCATCAGTGATTGATCGGCATTTAATGAGAGCTTTCACATTTAGCCATCGCTTTTGTTACGCCAACACATTTCAAAGATCAAAGTAAATTTAACGTTTATTTTCAGCTCAATGTGCAAGGACATGATTTAACTAAGAGATTACAACCAGTTATGTAAAACAACGCTCTTTTTATCTTAACAAGCGCGATAAAGCGTTTTTGTACAATCCTAATTGCCAACGTAATTGGCAGCAAAAGTGTACTAGTTTCTATTGCTATGTAAGACCTTTTGCAAGTAAAAATAGCAGCATTATTTAATTTATTCAATGCAATTTAGAGGTCATATGAGTTATTGTATATTAGTTTTCAGTTAATAGGACGGTTGNTTAAAGGAGCTTAATCAACTCTGTCGTGCCAAGGAAGAAAAGCAAAAGGAGGAGAAGAAAGAAAGCGAATTTAAATTACCAGGAATGCAAATGTTTTCCAGTCTTCCTCAACTTCCAAAGTTCTAGATAAAAGCCACTGTTACCTTTCATAAGAGAAGTTAGTAACTATAGATAGCATCAGTGATTGATCGGCATTTAATGAGAGCTTTCACATTTAGCCATCGCTTTTGTTACGCCAACACATTTCAAAGATCAAAGTAAATTTAACGTTTATTTTCAGCTCAATGTGCAAGGACATGATTTAACTAAGAGATTACAACCAGTTATGTAAAACAACGCTCTTTTTATCTTAACAAGCGCGATAAAGCGTTTTTGTACAATCCTAATTGCCAACGTAATTGGCAGCAAAAGTGTACTAGTTTCTATTGCTATGTAAGACCTTTTGCAAGTAAAAATAGCAGCATTATTTAATTTATTCAATGCAATTTAGAGGTCATATGAGTTATTGTATATTAGTTTTCAGTTAATAGGACGGTTGATTTTTTTTGTATATTAAACTTAATAGTAAGGTGAAAAACTCGTGAAAATTTGGAGTTTTTCTGGAATGTACCAAGACATTCAATTCTTCGAGTCCTTCTAAGAAGTGTCCAAATATTATAACAACATTCTACTCCAGGACATATGTAACACGTTCACGAGGACCTGATCCTTACGGTAAAGAAACTCTTAAGGCCCTAATAGATTGATCTGTTTAAGTGGAAAGAATATTGTATACCACAGTGAAATAAAACAGTGCACACAATAAATAAAGCAAAAACGTCTAGGACATGCTTTTGCTTTTGATTCTGCTTGGTAAGAATCGAGCCACCATGCGAGGTTTAAAATGGCCTTAAAGTAAACCTTTTCTCAGAATCTCTCTTTCGCGCTTGCTCATTTTCCTCTCTTTCTCGTTTGGAATCCTGGGCAATGTTATTTAACATTTCTGTCTGCTTTCGTAGGATGCTGCATATCTCATTGATCCTAAGGAGAAGAATCGACAAAAAAGTTTATTTGGTGAATGATCTCTTTCCTCCGCAGAGGCCACTTTGTGTCGGAGGAAGGCTGGGGAGAGGGAAAAAAGCAAGCCTGCGAGTGAGGATGGGAAGAGGAAAGAGAGCCTTTTCTCCCTTCCCATCGTCCACTGCGCACTTACTATTTATTAATTATTGCGAAGTGTACGATCAGTATTTTACATCTATTGCTGTCTTTTGTTGTTTCAACACGAAATCAGTTCCATATCTCTGGTAGGAGAGGTGTTCTACCATCGTTTTAATGCCAACAGCTATTTTCCTTCAAACCATTAATTCTAAATAATTACTTCATATTAATCCAAACTTCAACACCTATGCAAAACCGACGGATAGAAATTTTTTGTATTCTAGTTTGTTTGTTTGTCAGCCTATTATTTGAACAAAATTATTTTTTGTTCTTTTTTTACTATTTTAACAAAATAACTTCGGTTTTCATTATTTGAGATGACTTTCATAAGTCTCGGCTATCATTAGTTATTTGTGACTACCTTCTACCTCTCCATGATTTGTTGTCGGGTTATGTTCGTTGTTTCTCAAGTTGTTTTTTTTATTAACTTCTAGAAAGTGCAGACGTCCCTGCCACCATGAATTATTTGTAACTACCTCCCATCTCTATTGTTTTTCAAACAAAAGCTGTGTTACTGTATAATGACTGTATAATGAGAAAGTATTCATTCTAGCCATTCATTGGTTATTAGGAAAATTCTTTCACTACAAATATTTTTACATGTTGTGTGATAATTTCTGAGTAGGGAATTTTGTGCAGAATGAATTCATTGTGAGTGAGATTGCAAATTATGGAACCAAAATGACAGAAAGAAGCCTGATGGTCTTGAATCAATGATTCTACTTTAGCACCTGCCAGGAAATGGTCTTTTTTCGTCAACCAAGGTAACTAGTTCACCACTACTGTATGTCTTATTCAGGAACACTGTCTTCTGTGCTAAAGATTGCTTACGAGTTGTATGAACTTAGCACGTGTTATTATTTCTATTCAGGGAAAATACTCTTGCTTGAAAACACAGGGCAGTGAAGTATCATTGAAAAATCTGGCACTAGTGAAGGTATAAATCTTATCCAAATTGTTCATTAATTCTACGACAGGAACTTTCTATTTGGTACGATATCAAGTTCGGTCAAGTTCATTGTTTAATCGGTCAGTACAAAATGTGGACTGCAGACTGCTGCAGACCATTGTTTTCACCATGCAAATGAGAACGTGACGACAATATTCCCTACCCTGAAAGCAATGGTCTGCAGTCAGTCTACAGTCTGCATTTTGTACTGTCCAATTGTCAGAATTGTTTAATGAGACTTTCGAAAGCAAACGTTAATATTGTAATTAACACAGTGTGCTGACTCAGCGCCTTTAAGATTACACTTCATGAGGGATTCAAAATGGTCTTTGTGAAAAGATCAGGCAACTGGATTACCGTTTCGAACCGTTGACCGATCTTCTCTCGGTATCACTTTCACGAATGATATTAATTTAGTCTAATGTGTTCTGTATGGAAATTTGATGCAACATCCAAAACAAATACGATGACTATTTATATACATGTTTTGGTCAATATTGTCGCCTCGAGTCCGTTGTCATATACTTTGCTCTCGACCGTGTTTTTCACCTTTTCTGTTGATACCCACTTCGAAAAAAAAAAAGAGAAAGCCTTCCCTTCCCTAAACTCCTAAACCAACAAAATTACTTGACACACTCTGCCCTCAGTGACATTTCATATTTGGCTAGCCTAGCTTCTCTCTTCTGCTCAGTCCCCTTAACAATGTTGTATCGCTATAGAACGTTTTCACATGACGTCACTACCGCCATATTGGTGTCCCAAAATAATGAAAGTGAAATAAATTTAGGTTTCTGAGAAACTCCCCACCTACCCCTCCCTTAAGCTAACATTATTCCTTGAGTTAGAAGTAAGTGTTAATGTTCGCTTAGGGGAGGGGTAGGTGGGCAGTTTCCCAGAAGCCTCGATTGATCCTAAATTTGCGTAGCTGTTGGCCTCGAGAGTGAAAAGGTTCTATTCCAAACAACCTGTAAGAAACCATGCCATAAACGAGCCAGCTTGGTTGGAGATGGAGGTAATGGTTGGGGTAAGGGGTTTATTAATTACTTTGTTTGCCGAAATATATCCCATTTGATTGAACTTAGCTTATTATTGGCTTACTTGGCGTCCTGTTCCTCCAGTTTATTCTTGATCTCTATAACTTCCGCCAGAGACTCTGATTCCACTTCCTGTTCCTCACTGTCATCTCCCGGATGTCCAAACCCACAAATGGTATCATACAGCTAAATGCGACAAAATGATCATAAAGTAAAAGAACACATACGGTATTAGAGAAAGCACCAATCAAGGCTTTGCAATTGATTGCTGGTTAAACTATTAATAAAATAAACTATATTTAATTATAATAGTCTTTGACGGCCAAAATCAGAGGACTATGTCAGGGATTTTATACACCGAATAAGCACAGCGTAGGCTAAATTGTCTTGCCTTGTCGTGGCCAATCTTTTTTGAGTCTGAAGACCAAGCTGAAGCAGGCTAGTGAATTGAACCGGCCAAGAGGTAACTAGGGGAGGCCGGGTCCCTATACGACCTTTCATTTGATGGCCTTTTAAGGAAGAATTGAATTGCTCTTGTTTCCTTATTGTGATTTTTTTCCCTCTCCTTGTTTTCTTACATTCACAAGTTCGCATGCCTGGCCTCTGTTTATTCTTTTATTTACTGCGGTCGACAAAAGGAGACCGCAATCCTAATCTCCAGGTTGCTATTACACATGCACAGCAGATATGCAGCCTCGTACTTCCACTTGCACATGACGTAATCTGATCACCCGCATTTAGAAATTCCAGCACTCACAATCTAATAACGCGCGGCTATTGGACATCTATCACATGCACGAAATTTACGCAAAACACATTGTTGGTCAGCAAAAGCGTTTGAACCTTCGAGTGTTATCGCCCGCGTTCCGCAACCTTCGATTAGTACTAGTTCGTTCTCTTTACCCGCGTCTTTAATGGTGCTTTTTTGTTTGGGAAGTCCACATGCTTCTCGAATTGGACCAGTCTTCGAAGCCATCGAGGGAGCTGTTCCTCAGTCTGCAGGAGCAACTGGATCTAATTTCAAACAAGAAATGGTTATCATTTTCGTTGGCGCTCAAAAAAGGGTCGCGCGAACTCAAACAAACCTGAAGAAAACCGCATATATGTGTCCAAGCTAAAGGGCGTTTAAGATGTCATTTATCTGATGCCTTAAAACAAAAAATGAAAGTCACACGGAATTTGTGAAATATATAAACGGAAATGGGAAAAATTGTTCGAGCGGACAACATCTGATCATTTTCGAGACAGTTCTTTCCCAATTTCCGCTGCCTTTCTCTTACAGTCAAGTGGCTAAACGCAAACCGCAAATGTTGGTCTAATGGAAAAAGTTCTGATCATTCCACAAGGCATTCCTCTTCTCCTTTCTTATCATTTTCTTTCCATGCTCGCCCCATGAAAGGGAATCGGGAATCCCGATTCCAGAATATAGGAAATTTGTTTGTGAAATCTGGAATCCCGGGCTTTGGAATCCGGAATACAGGTCAAGAAATCCGGATTACACTAACGATTGTAATCCGGAATCCAAGGTCCCCAGACATAGAATCTGGAATCCAGTCCCTGCAGTCCGGAATCCAGAGTGAGGAATCCAGAATCCAAGATCATCCGTGGGTAAAACGTGGGTAATACGAGGAGTAATACGTGAGTAATCCCGAGCGGGGAATCCAGAATCCAAGACTATCTCGGATTCGGCGACCGTTCCCTACCAAGGCAGGAAACGAGGAGCAATTCGTGGAACTGAAAAAGAGAAATGACGTCTTCCCTTTCCATTTTCCCTTACAATTTACAATCGTAATCGTACATCATTGATGTAGAACGGCAAAATTTACCTGTGTGACGTATCTGTCCATTGTAGCATTCTTCTGAATATTGTCAATATCACCAACAGCAAGACCAACCTGTAAAAGATAATAACCATACCTTACCGGTAAATAACTAAAATATGAAATATTCATTTACTACTCCTGTTATATTTGTTATTGACTTTGAATTCTGCAGTGCTCGGTGTGCTCTGTATGATAATTTATATTTCTGCTGAATTCTAGATTGAGGTAGTTCCACTCTTTTTAATGGGGGAAAAGTGGCTTGGACTAGATCTGCTAGCACTCGAGTGTTTTGCGTTTATTTTTATATTCGACATACATTCCCTTTTCGTACGACTTACAGCTGGAACAGTTCGGGAGAAGGAGATTAGATTTAAATTTGAAGAGGGACTGACTGCATGAATCATTGTCCTTCAAAAATGGTAGGAAACCACAAGTCAAATTATTTTAAAGACAGGATAGATACAGGGTATGATTCCACGAGGAGCATTTCATTATACAGCTAATTGATATACATTGACGCATCACTTTTTCTAAGTGGAAAGGGGTTTATGTTTTTATGCGGCAGCATCAAGAAAAAGGTATGTTAAAGCTACATAACTAAAACGAAGCTCTCCGAAATATTCCGCTGAATTCTTATTTTTCAGAGATAAGAGAAAACTCTTGCAAGAATTTGCAATCTAAAAGTTAACGTCTCACCAGCATGTTCATGAGAATAATGGGCATTGAAAGAACAAAGATAACAAAAAGAAAGTTGACGAGACTTGAGAAAGGATATTCCCATGGCATGAAGTTATCAGCGTAGTTCAGTTCACCCAAAGTCATGACAAAGACTGTTAATAACCAATGTGGAAGCGAGATGAACGTTTCCTAAAAAGAAATTAAATTCAAGTAAGTCATAATGCCAATAATCAAAAAAGTTTAATTCAAAAGTCCATGGCAGCATGACAACTTGAACTACTATAACAGTTACTCTGTTCGATTCTAAAGGTGCAAGACTATATACTTACATTTTCATCGATCAGCATGTAAAAAGTTATTCCAAATGACAGAAGAAATAAGATGACCAGAACCAAGACCTTTTGTGAATATAAATTAAAAAAACGCATCATATAGGAGGCTGTATGAATAAAGATTGCAAAAGACAGTTTTTCCGACGTATAAAGAGGACGTCTTGTGGATATTGCGCACACGAGGGGAAGACACTAGTAACAAACTGCTCCATCCATGTACTCTATGCATGGTTTCGTCGCAAAGAAAAGCATGAAATCTGAAGAAGATGTAATGATACTAAGGATGCAGGAGCATCATAACACAGTTTCAGCAAAAAGGACTATTGGAGTTGAGAAGGGTGCAGTTTGTGGGTTTCTTTATTTGGTGAAAACGGTAATTGCACAGCAAAGCCCAAATTTAACTCGTTTCCAGGGCTTTTCCTTAAAAATGGGACGAGGTTGGAGAACGATAAATTGGGCCTGCGCGCATTCTCGTTCCCAGATTCCGCCGCTTCTTTTGGTCACGTAGTATTTGAAGCCAAGCAAATTAAGCCGAGTGGCTGTTAGGAAAAGAGAAGTCTTATGAGGTGTTTAGCCGTACGATCAGAGTCAACCATGCGCATTTTCGTCACACACGTTAATGAATAAATCTATCTAAACCGTTAAGCAAATGACCGGAAGACTGTACAGAGGCTGAGGAAAAACGTTTAAAGTCAAGACAAGATAAGACCTCACCTTTAACAGCGTTTTAAACATTGTGGCAAGCATGATAACATATGATCCGTAAAATGAAAGTCTAAGAAAAAAGGTGAAGAAAACTGTCAATGCGCACAAATATTTGAGACGGTGGTTACACATACACCTCTAGATAAATACATTCTGTGATAATTATTCAGTGCCGCGCGCAAAATGAATATAGCAGCATATGGCTCCACATATATCATGTGTTAGATCAGTCAGGCGCCATTTGTTCATAAGGTAGATAACATTATGCCGTAGATAAATATTTGTCCAGTGGATAACGCGATTTCCTTATTTTTACACTAAGCTTAACTATCGGAAACCTACATCAGGTGGATAGAGCTATCCAGTTCTTGTGGTTTAACAACTCGGACCAGGCCCCAGTTGTTCACATGGTGGATGACTCTAGCCACTAGATAAATCTCTAACTCTTGGATAAAATAATTGGTTTCCCTAATACTTATCCACTAGATAGTGATTAATTCAGTGGCTTGGATGTTGCAAACTGGGGCCATGGATGCAAGAATCTCGATAATTTGAGTGATCCATACCATTATTACAAAAACGTGGATAAAAGGGCGGCCCTTAAACGACTGTAAGCGACTCCATCATACAGTTTTCCTGTTACTCACTTTCGTAAGTAAAGAATTAGGTTCATCCATCCAAAAAACATGGAAACAGCGCCAATCTGAATCTGCGTGCCAGTCTTACAGTCATAAGAAGGCAGGATAAACAGCATCGTGGTGATATAACCAGCCAACTCAAAATAATTGGATGAGGTAAAGAAGTAATTAGCACGCTGTAAAGAGTAACAAAAACAGCGTAAGCTAGTAAATACATTGACTTTCCATTCGCCAATTTAGAAAGGAAACGGGAACTGGACCGAGTTAATTCTCGCAAAGATTTTTGGGGAGGTCACAAGGGAAGTAGGGAAAACGTGGGCCAATAGCTGACCGGCATGTCACCAGCAACCATCCCGGAGACAATTGCGCCGGCCGCTCTATCTCGCCTAAAACTTCCAACAAAAATAGCCATACATGCATTACGCAACGGCTGTCCAATGTGCAAACTGGACAAATTTCTCTCAAAATAACCTCTACATTAGGACAAGGTCTCCATAAAAGGTTGTTTCGATGTTACGGCGGCCGCTGTGTAAAGGTTTGACAGTCCTCAGTTTCATAGCTTTGTTGTTCTTTTATCTCATGATATTAACGTCGATAGCGACGTTTCAACAGCCGACTGCCTACAAGCGATGATGGTTACAATCAAAACGGCACGGGTCGCGGGTCGCAGTAAATTGGCCGTGTTGGGATAGTAAAAGTAGTACTCAGGGGCTAAGTTGCGCAACATTTCTGCTCAAATAATATTGAACTTTGAAATACCATTAAATGTGGTTGGCATTTACCTTTGAAACCATTTGAAAGACTTCTCTAGCCAAGTGAATCGAAGTAAAAACAATAACAACAAAGGTCAATGCTTGAATTTTCTAAAATGATAAAGAAAAAGGAGTAAATTAGTCATCTTTTAATACTTTATATAAACCAAAAAGTATTACCATTCAAAAATTAACCTTTTAGACTTACCAGACGAGACTTTTCTTTAGGTAAGGTTTCAAGGTAATCCTTAAAATGCAAAAAATTCACAGATTAATATCGTAGCAAACATCTCAGTGTGTGGTGAATTGCCACTGTCGCGCAATGTTTACTTGCGTACGCACGTAATTCATACGCGTGTATATAAAATAGAGCTTACGTATGAAGTGTCGCTCGCAAACGTAAAAGTTGAGCGAACTTTAACGCTTACACGCGACCTGATACATTGCAACCCTCTATTTTATTTACAAGGCTAGACGCACCCAAACTTTACGCGACAGTGGAAATTCGCTCTTACACAGGTGTCTGTCTTGTCTATAGGTGTGTAGCTACACTGTATAATCAAGATGGTAGGTGCAAGAAATCTCCTTTGCAGTAAATTACACTGCTACTTACTTTTCTTGTGTCGGAGTCGTTCGAGGCACAATATTCTTTCTCTTTGTCTCGTGAATATAGCGCCAAAGCGGTCAGCGGTACCAGATAACAGAGATAGAGGAGAAGGTTGAACATAAGAGATGTAAAACCAAATTTTTTCCTGCAAAACAATTGTTTTAACGATTTTAAATACATTCGGTACCAATGCTTTATGCTTTTTATAAATACACTAATAGCTGGGACCTAGTTTAGTGCTGAACAAAGGCAAGAAGAAAGGCGGGTATTCATGGCTGCTGTTAACTGAATACGCAAGTCAGTGATATGAAAAAAAAGAAAGTAATAGACGAGCAGGTAAAAAAGGGAATTGCTGGGGATAATAATGCCCACAGAAAAAATGGAGCACTTCTCAGTAGCTTTTATTTGAATGGTCACACTACAGATGATTTCTTCCGCAGACACAAAAGCCAGATCCACCTTGCATGGTTTCGTATACCACATTCAATAAATTGTACCACAGGAAAGCACTCTTGAGTGCGTAACTGGTTTAGTCCATACCGACACAAAAATTAGAAATACATCAGCCTTGGACCTTTTTTAAAGGGAATTATAAAGACTGTGTCTTCATCACTCACCATTTTAAATGCATCAAGGTGAAGACGACTTCGTGAGTCAGACAGTTGGCACGGCGATATTTGACCATCGTCTGAAAAATATCAAGTAAAGAAAAAAAATTGGTTTAGGCATATTTCTTGCATAAATTACTACTGAGGTTTTTAAGGACCAAACCTCAATGCCAGAGAAATAAGTCAAATCAACAAAAGAACTTAAAAAAAAAGGGAATTGGCGTACGTAAATAGACCAAAGCCATGTGCTTGAGTAACTGGTCATGATAGTTGCCTAAATTTAATCCCTTAGCTTGTTCAATGAGGTCTGGTCATATTTAGTTACCTTTAATACTGTTAGCTGGTCCTTCTCCGGATTCGGAACGTATTTTGCTTGAACGACTGTCAAATCTTTCTTAACCTTCGAGAAAAAAACATATAAAAATATTGTGCAATGAAATTAAAACAGCCCACTTTGATATATGAGTCTAACGAAGTCGTCTCGTACCTCTCCATACTTGGTCGAGTTGTTGAATAGAACTATTAGTAGGGAAGAAAAAAAGATTTGTTGACGCACCTTGTATTCTGGTTTCATTTCGTCACCTTCTTCCACAACACATTGATCTAAAATGCGCTAAAGGAACACAAATTTTTTATTGTTATATTGTTATATATCTTGAGTCTCTTAAAACATAAATAATGCATTTCCGCGGGGAGCAAGATGCCGCTATTTGATAAAAATGACGTTTTACCTCTGCAACGTCCGGCATTTTTATAACCAGCGATTGCATCATTAAGAGGGAGCCTGGAGCCGACGAGGACAAGATCTCTCTCCACCTTAAAAGTACAAACAAACAAAGAAAACGAAGGTGCAATTAACTCCAGGCAGCTAAATCATCAATATTATTACAGTGTATATGGCTACAATAGTACGCACGCTCCGATTGGATGCTAAGCGAGCATTATTTTCCTGTATTGACCAGGCATTACTGGCTAGGTGTCTAAAGCAAATACAATCTGTGTTTAACTTGATAGTGGACATCCTTAGGGAAATCCATGTTATAGTCCATTGATCGACAGCTATCAAAAAGTACATCCGCTGGCCAGTGTCATGACTTCATGGCGGGCTGAAGTGTACGACTCATTGAGGTAACGTGTTTTTTAAAGTTATCCGCTGATCAGTTATTGGTTAATTGATCACAGGCTCAGGTCCATAAAAAAACACCATGTAATAAATAACTTAACTTGACGTCCGTTCGCTCATTACGCTATCGCTCGGTCAATACATCTAGGCCGCGGTCTGAGATTTCCCTGTAACAAACTGTCGGTCAGTTTGATCGCACTGCAAAATACGCTTGCTTTGCAAACTAGCATGCTTGCATCTTATTTACCTGGGATGTTCAGCAATTGCCATAGCAACGTTACGCTTTTCTTCGTTCAGGGCGATGTCCAAGAGGTTTTGATTGTATGAGTTCATTAAGATTTCTTGATCTTCTTGTGACATCAGATAAACAACAATTTCATCATGTCCTTCAAATGACGCCAGGTTCAATGCTGTGTTCTGTAAGGAACAAAAGGTTTATTAACCCCTTGAGTAATTACTTTAGCCTCTTAACTGAGAGAAAAATGGGAATAACGCATAAGACACTGAAAAGTATTTTTTCAATTTCAAATGTAAAATTTCGCTTTGAAAAACTACACTGAACAAGTAGTGCCATGAGAAAAAAAGTACCAAGGAGGATGCATTTAAAATTGGTTTCATGATAGATAGCATTTTTTGGACGCACTTAAAAGTTAGAGCTACCTTAGCTTTGCACAATATAAAAAACTGAACCAGAGGAAGGTGCTACTTGGCAGCTTTCATTTGACTAGTTGCATTGCAATAATTCATCCACAGATCAGACTCAAAAGTCAGAGCCACCTTGTGCAGCATAATAAGCAGTACAAAGGGAAGTTGAAAAGTACTGCTCTTGGGTCTAGGAATTTTGTCTCAAGCCTAAAAAATCAGAGAAACACTTCTCGAGGTTTCATCGTTGAATTGAAGAGACAAATTGAAGATAGTTAACCTTGTTTTCGTCGACAGCGTTTAGGCAGTCAGGGTGCTTTTCCAAAATAGACACCACACATCTCTTGGATCCTCGAGTGGCCGCCAGATGTAACGGCGTTTTTTCATGCTGATCTCTGAAATCAAGAGGAGTTTAAATCTGATCATCACAAAATTGATGTAACGGCGTCTTTTCATGCTGATCTCTGAAATCAAGAGGAGTTTAAATCTGATCATCACAAAATTTAAACTGTTACAAAGTATGCTTACTTTACTTTAAAAACTGTTCTCAATTTCCTATTTTATTCCGAAATGTATCGACAAATCGCCACTTTAGAACCGAGAGGGAAACTGGGACGAGTTTACATTCGCAAAGACTTCTGGGACTGTTATTAGGGACAGGGGAAAAATTGGCCAATAGCTGAGCGGCACGTCATTTGTAACGTTCCCAGAAGCAATTGCGGGACACATTTCGGCTCCTGTTCCCTTCTCGAGCAGTTTTCAGTAATTGTCTCTGTTCTGTGGAACACGTCTACCAGTGTACTTACTTTTCTACTGTAGCACCTTGCGAAAGAAGGAATACCACAACTTGATCATGACCATTGCAGCAAGCAAGGTGAAGCGGAGTCATTCCTTTATTGTTTTGTAAGTTTATCATGCGAATGTTTCGACCAACCAAAAGACTCTCAACTATTGCCAACCAACCGAATCTGAAACAGAACAAGAGAACGGTAGACAAAAAGTCCTATTGTGTTAGAATGAAACAAGTAAATGATGTTTTTTAATTTTACTTTCAAGTAACCAAGTAACATATCGACCATGAGATGCAGTGTTTCATCACCAGATGAAACACCGAGAAGAGAGTTGAAAATACGACGCGCAGCTGAGTATTTTTGACGAACTTAGAGATGTTTCATCTGGAGATAAAACACTGTGTCGAATACTTGATATTACTTCTCAAACAATACGATTTTAGCCGGAAAAATTAAGGATTCAAAAAGTAGCAGTTTTTCATCTGATTTCCAAACACTCATTAAGCATTAATTTTCTTTGTATTTCTTTATGAATCATTAACGAGTTTGAGAAGTACAAATTAAACACGAGGAGTTTCATCTGCTTGTCGAATAATGAGATGTATTTTATCAAACACGAGAGTGAGTGTTTCTTTTGAAATTCAACTAGACTCGCCCTACTAATTGTTTTCATACTAATCATAACCGGCCGTACAAAAGTAAAATTTTCCCGTTACTATTTGTACAATGTTCGTTATTATACTAAACGATTGTTAAATCTTACTTGGCTGCAATGTGTAGGGGTGTGTCAAGCTCGTTTGATGTGACACCAGCTGCAGCTTTATTTGTCTCCATCAGAAGGGAAATGTTCTGAAAAATTGAAGAAGATGCGGAAGGTTAAAAAAAAGTTGTACATTAGGGTGTAATTAATACATGTCATTGATGTATAAATTATATCATTTATGGGCATGCGTGTTTGGACCAGTTCATGACCCAACAATATCTGCAGTAGTGAATGTCGCTGCCAAACATTTTGCAACAACTCATAGTTTAACTACACATTCATCATATTGTTCTTTTGATAAGTAGTTTACTCTTTTAGTTTTAAGTCATATTTCATGGCTCCGATTAATTGTTCTTTTAAAGTTCTAGCCGATGGGAAACAAAGTCTAGCCGGAGTAGTAGCATTTTCGGAATATCCGCTTCAGTGTCGGTAATCGAAGTTAATTCAGGTTAATTTTCGTGCATATAGGCTTTTTAAGAATAAGCTGTTCATTTGATGGATTATCATCATATTAGTCTTATTGTGAGTAGTGATCAGTGCTTAATTCAGCAGATGTATCAAAATAAAATCATTTGTGTAGGGACAAAATCGCTAAGATGCACTTTTTTTTCGTGTCGTTGTATTTGAGGACACTGTTTATACAGGGCCCCTATTTTGCGTCGTCATCCTAGGCACGCGAAGGTCTAACTCTTTGCACGCAGGGCAAAGGTAGTACCTTCTTTTTTTCAGTTATTTTAAGACCCCCAGTATTGGTCCGGCCCCAAGAAAATAACTGACGACCTACTGAGCTGATCCTGAGTTGATGAGTTAAGTTGATCTTTCGAAATATTCTTCTGTCACTACTCTTACCTTGGCTTGTCCTTTCCCAGCGGCATAATGTACCGGTGTAAAGCTCCTGTGATCTTTGTCAGTTATAAGATATGCTGATGATGGTTCCTTTATATTCCAAAACATAAAACCAAAAAGAACAATGTTATTGCAAGGGAGTAATATAAAGGAGGGATGCTTCTATGCGAGTTATAAATTGTGGAACTTCTCCAATTCCTTAAAAAAAGTTGCTGAGACAAAATCTTGTTATAAGGCCTTCTAAGGAGACAACGAGTACAGAAAGGATATATAAAGCAAAATTAATGGACGGAAATAGATCTTTATAGTCACGCTACCATTTTGGCCATCTTCTATCGAATGGCAAAGCACAAGGCAATTTCCGAGTTGCTCTTAAACCTTTGTTTTAAAGAGAGGCTAAGTAGGAAGCTATTGATATGAAAAAGAATTTCTTATTCCCATGCAGATAAAACTAATTTTCCAAGAAAGGTTTTGCACTTAGCCTCGTTTGAATAGCGAGAGATTTTGGAACTTGGAAACGGCCTACTGAGCTTTTTTCTTATGAGTAGAAAGTTTCTTTTCTTTGAAAATTTGTATAGAGCATTTTCACATGACGTCACGGCGGCCATATTGGTGTCCCAAAACAATGAAACGGCGGCCATGTTGTTGTCCCAAACCATCCCTCTGGGAGTTGAACTCTTTACTTATGCAAATGTTTTTTTTGTTCCAATAAATTTGCATAGATGCTGGTCACGTGAGTGAAAACGTTCTATATCAGTTAACCACGTGATTTGTAAATTATGTAATGGAACGCACCTTTAGAAGTATCTCCATCGCACCAGGATGAGAAACAGCGGCATGAAGAACTGATTTTTGCTGCACGCTTTTTACCGTGACGTCAGCACCTCGCTCGAGTAACAATTGAATGGTCTCAACGCCTCCCTTCTCTGCTGCTTTGAACAGGGGGGTACAGCGGTCTCGATCAGGGGGATCCACGGCGGCACCCTATGTGATATGAAGGATAAATTGCCAAATGAAATTGGCTCTAGAAGATAGTAATCTTCAACAGATGGTTATTGCAAGACAGGTTTTTGCTTGCAACGTTTTCCATACCTAATCTTTTCTGATCATATCCTTTGAAATCTAATTAAAACTGTGTGGCATGTATGAATTTATGTCGCTAAGTTGGATCGAAACTCAACGAAAGCCTACAGAAGGAATCAGGTGACTAAACGAGAAACCATAATTATGACGTGTTGAAATTTAACCACTTTTACCTGATCTAGAAGATATTCGACGACATGCACGTGGTCACTTGCGGCAGCTTTGTGAAGAGGAGTCTGCCCTTCAAAATCAATCAGCATTATTCGACATATGGAAGGGTCATGATTGGCCAAAAGTTTTACGGTCTCAAGAGAACCTTGTCCACATGCCAAATGAAACGCTGTGCTTTTGTCGGAGGCCTGCAAATAAAAATGGCGTATCCTCGCATGAAAATGTCTTATTTCATTAGCACGACCCCTATATGTTATTTCTTTAGTGTATAATAAAGGCCAATTATCAGACCCGTATCAACAAACTCAACGCTATGCTAGCGTTAGACCATATTACATCCTACAATTAAGTTTATAAACCAACCTTTGGATATCTTGCTCTTGCACCACTTTCCAAACACAGTTCAACAATCTGTAAAAGAATAGAAATGTCAACTTTATGAAAAGAGTCAACGGCCAGACCAATGGATATGATCCGTGTCAAAGTCGTCGTCTTCCTCCTACTGATCATTCATAATCATCATCATCATCATCGTCATGATCGTCATGATCGTTATCATGGTAACCGACAACGGAAACAATAGTGTGTTTTTTAAGCCAAAGATAAATGGTGAATAGGTAGCGCCTGTTAGGCTGTCAAACAGGTTTCTTATGTCTTTTTTAAAAAAATTTCCTTGGGTCGAGCACGTTGTTATCATTTACATCTGCTAGGAAGGTGACCGCTAGTTTTACATGTTGCTAAAAGACCAGATTAAATTCGCGCAAGTATTCCCCGGGGCATGTTATAATCAATATTGTATAAATATGGAGAAATTTATCACTAGCTAACCTTCAGGTTGCCACTGTCTACAGCCATATGTAAAAGAGACGACCCATCCATATCAGCTTTGTAAAGAAACGACTCCAAGTTCAGCTGCTGAGTTTTGACTGAAAGCAAACGATGTTGACCAAATCACATCTTTGTTGACAATAGGTTTCTAATTTAGAGTTACATCCAATGTACATTAAACGATTTTATTCTTTGAAGTAATAAGAGAAAATGTTTTGTTTACTGTAGTGAAAGAAGTACTCCACAGCGTCTTTGGCCCCTCTTTCTACTGCGTGACCCAAGGGTGTCATCTGGTCTTCATCCATCATGTCAACCCTTGCACGATGTTCAATCTAAATCATGAATAAAAACATTCAATGGCTATAAAAGCGTTATTAAAAACAAAATATTTATCACTTAAAAGAAGGAATGGAGGGAAGTATAATGGACGTGACTCATCATTGCTACCATTTTGTCACACTCATCACCATAATCATCGTCATGAACACTGTAATTATAACATAAGCAAAGTAAATCGCGCGTTCTGATTGGTCAACTAGCCATTTACCTTGGCCCAAGCCCGTGCGCTCGTGTCGGCCTCTTTCCATCCTTACCCGTTTGCAGTGCTTAACATCCTTCCACGCGCATTTGCAACTCGAGTCAGTGCAATTCCACAACTGCACAGTGAGCGTTTACAATTTTTTGATGGACTTCTATCGTTACCGTTACCATCATCATACTTACCAGCATCTTGCAGACGTTAACTCGATCCATTCCAGCTGCCAGGTGAAGGGGAGTCACAAAAGCGCGGCCAGCGGAGTTAACGTCACATTGTGAGTTTCGCAGCAGCGCCTAATGACACAAACGATGGCGGAAAAGCAAAAACTAATCAATCAACTTGCAGTTTTAGCTGTTTTTCCTAGCAGAAAGGTAGTTTCCTGCTTCCCAAATGATCTGTTCGGGACTCCATTATGCGTTTCTGGGAATCTGCCCACCTACCCCTCCCCTCAGCTAACATTTTGCCCTAAGTGAGAAGTAAGTGTTAATGTTGGCTTAGGGGAGGGGTAGGTGGGCGTTCGCCCCATGTAAGGTAATCCAAGATAGTCTTGAATTCTAGATTCCCGATTCCCGATTCCGGAATCCACAGGCAAATAGTTTACCGCGTTCCTCATTAGCTTACAGTGGCGCCACTCTGTTTTCTCAGTGAGGGTGGATTGCCCACACGCTTAGCCCCAACGTGGAGCACAAAGGCCGAAATCAAGATAGTATTGGGGAAGAAATGATCGATATTGTGGAGGTATCTTTAAGCATGATCTTACTCGTGTCATCGGTAATCTATACCTGCAGTATTCTTTCGTCGCCTACTCTCACAGCTGTGTGTAGTGGCGTGTCCTTCCTCTCATCTTGAGCTTGGACATCTGCACCCTTCTTGAGGAGCATCTCTATTATTCCCAGCTGCTTTCCAAGAATTGCATTGTGTAAAGGTGTACGACCAAACCCATCTGTGACACCAATATCTGCGATGAAGGGCACGAACGCACAGTAAATCCTCTATTAAGCCCCTTCCCGGGGGGCTTATTTATTACAAGCACATTTGACGGTGGCTTAATAGAGACGGGGGATATTTGAGAGGGGGGATTATTAAATTTAGCAAACACAATGGTATACGTTCTCCATAAAGAACTATGATACAAAGTGGACAAGCTCAAGTACAAGAATGTTGAGGTCATGCAGCAGAGGATCAAAAACAAATCCGAACTTCTAGTTGGTGAATAAACCGTCCCAGATCAGACGACACGACGTTTTACAGTCGTGAATGATTAATACAGTCTATCATTTATTAATGAGGAATAATTAAAAGAGAGGTGCGCTCATTAACTTTCTTCCCCTGAAAAAAAGGGGGGCGGTTATTAAGGGGGGGGGGGGGGGGGGCTTAATAGAGGATTTACGGTATGTTTTATTTGCAAGACTTTGTTAATCTTCCTTCCGACAAATGGCCAATTGAGATGCTGAATAACAAAAAGTGCTATGTGAAAGATGCAACGGAGGTTTCTCCCCTGACCGCAGGATTTTGTCTATGTACTCAAAAGCTAGAACTAAGTACAAAACAAGTACCATGTAGAAGTGCTGCTGAAGAGGTTTCATGCGAATGATTGCATAACATGATTTCGTCCACAGACTTAAAATAAAATAAAAAGCTTCTTCGTTCGCTTTTGAGATCGGTTTTATTCAAACAACATTGCAAAAGCATAGAGAGTTAGACACATTCACCCAATGGTGGAGACTGGAGCCCAGATCTTTACAATTTAAATTATATAAGAGCATCAGCATAATTTGAGGATTCTGGAACCCTCTACATGTATTTGGATCCCAGATGGTTAAAACGCCTTGGGCCCCTTCCCACCTGATGGTCTGCAGCTCTGGGGCCCTAAAACCTCCCGAGTAGTTTTTGATAACGTAGTTAGGGGTTACGATCTGAAAATATGTGAACTTTCATATGGCTTTTCATTTCGCATACGTTTAAAAATAATCTCTGGCTGCTGTAGTCCACTACTTAACAGCATCCTAGCCCCATCTAGATCATATCAGTGCGATATATTTCTTCATTTTTCTCTAAGGATTAAACCATTGTTCTCGTTAATCATGTAGTCTTGCTTATACCTTCTCGCTGGAAGAGAGGATCAAATCACTCACCCACTCCTTTGGAAATCAATGCCTCCACAGTTGCTTCATCACCGGACATGGCAGCCTGATGGAGTTGCTGTGATTTAGGGGCTTTCTGCAAGTTAATTCAACGTTTAGAAAGCAAACTTATCGTCTATGATCTTAAAACAGTTTGATTAGTAATACTTAAGCTAAATGGCGATAAATATTGAGAAAACTAAAATCCCGGATGACTTAGTTCTGGTAACTGTGATCTCTTCGCGAAGTGTATTTTAAATGCTCCTGTCAGTTGCAGTTACTTTGGATTTGCATTCTTAGTAACTTTGCAAACGATGACCTTGTAATTCTGCGATACATTCATACATTCTCTGTCAAATAGCAGAAGTCCTTGAGCAGAACTTGAATACATTTTTCTGAGCAATTTTTGCTCATTGTCCGGTGTAAAGTACCAAGAAAATCAATCAAATATCTTTAACTTGCATGATTCGATTGATGTGATGTTTGCTGATGTTGACGTATGTTAATCCCATTCTTTTCAAAAAGGTCTTTTCAGAGTTTGAAATGTCCTCAACACTTAGCTAACACTTCCTATGTTAACTATTTAATGCGGGCCCAGAATGTAAATTTCAATCAGATCACGCAAATGTAGCATCCATAGTAAGGATTCGTTCCTGCACCAGGCCGAAGTTCCTGTTTCAAACCTACAATAACTTTATTCAACAGGCCGAAGCCTCAAAAGATGGGGCTGTCTGCAAAAATGTAACCGTGCTTTTAATTAATGAGAAATGATTCAATTCGGTATAGTATGAACTCCTATCCGATATGCCACTCTCCACTTTCGAGATCGGCGCTACCGCAGCTTCGCTCCGAAATGGCGTCGAAATCACTGTTAATGTTATTATATGTGAACAGAAGCCTATACGGTATGGTTTTCGAGAAGGCGCAAAAATTATCCTGTATAGTGTGAATACAGCCTCAGTGTATCACGTGTAATTAATTTCAGCGGCCTTTACTCACGGTTTCATGCCCTTCCTTGGAGAGTATGGGGTATATGATTGGGCGAGAGGTTAAACTTGCTACATAGCAAGAGAGGTTTCTTCTTTTCTCTTGGTGCTCTCTTGTAAATAGCCAACTTGTTTGCCTCCCATTTTAACTTTGAGCTGTCAACCCTACCTTGTTTCATTTCCCTACTTGTCTTTGTATTTTTTTTTTCCACTTAGAAGTGGGTAGTACTAAGCGCAAAGTACACTTCCATTTATAAACGAAGCATTTCCATTCTTTCATTTCCCGATTCCTACAAATGAATTATAGTCAATCAAAGAGTATCATTGTCTATGTCATGGTCCCGGGAAATCTGGTCGGCTTACCTGGCGTTGATCATCTTCATCGTCTTTCTTCGCCAAACTTTCTTCAGAGCTCAAACTCTTCATGTTAAACGAGTTATTATGGCTCCGATCGCCGTTATTCATCTTTTTTAAACTTTCGTTCGTCGGATTCTTTTTCCTTTTTGGCATGCCTTTGAAGAAATAAAAGTAGGTTACAATCCCCGATATGTATGTTTTCCCGGTTGTCTGGTTCCGTTTGCGCATGGCCTTCTGATTAAAATGTCACTCCGGTGAAGGGAGATCAGTTTGAGGACATAAAAACAACAGCAACAAAAATATTTCTACAGTGGTCTAATACTAATGACAATGAACCAAGCTTTCAACACGTACTTTTGAGGACTGAGCAAACTTTCGTTTGGAACATTTTTGAAAATGGTCTCATCACTGAAATCCAGCGTTAAAAATGACTTGTTCCTTGCTCCAGCGAGGAACAATAGACCATGAAAGTCGCTTAACCTACCTGATCCCGCTTTCCCATTTCTTTTTCAAGTCAAACTCGCATCCCAAACCTCTGTCATCTTTGTCCCGAATACCGTTTTTTTTTTGCCAAGATTTTAGCGAATCTCGCTCCCCTTGTAGCAGTCAAATGCCGTACCCAGTCAACAAATCTTACATTTTCCCACATCCCGCTCTGTATTTTAGTCAAATCCCGCTGGATCTCGAGAATACCCTCCCAAACCCCGTGAAGAAAAAAAAAACGTCGCGGAATGCAAAACGGTAGAATCACAGGCGGACCATTCGAAATGTTCGAGGCATCGTGATGTCACGCGCGACATGTGATCCCATACATTTACTGTATTTCGTAACACCCGCACTTGGTTTGATTCACAAGTGATCGGTACATAAAACACAGAATTTTGCACCTTTATGTATTAGTCGGGCGTGTCAGCTTCAAGCTTTTGAAAACGCCACAAAAACGCAGAACACGACACTAAAAATATACGGTCAGTTATCCTTATTCACTTTTCTTACATTATATCAACATTTGGGATCGAAAGGTGCAAAATTTTGTGTTTTATGAAGCATTTCTACCAATCATTTGAATCACGGCGAATGCGGGAGTTATGAAATACAGTAAATGTATGGATCACATGTCGCGTGTGACATTACGATGCCTCCAACAGTTCGAATGGTACGCCTGTGGTAGAATGAAAAGCGAATCGAACGATAACAATGACTCCTTTTGAGGGACTGGACCTTCCAAACATAAAAATCGTGGATCTTCGAATTTGTTTCATTCACCTTTTTTGCTCTGAGTTTTGGAATGTTTTTGTTTTTGTTCTAATGATTTCATACATAAGAACTATTAAGATGAACAAGAACTCTTAGAGAAGAAGATAATTAGATTTGAGGTCCTTAGACATAAACAACACTTTTGACGTGTTGCATGAACAGACTAAGCAAATGTGACTTGTTAATGGTATATAAGTGCAATTTGAGTGACATTAGGATCAAAACCATCTTTTCTGTTCTTTTATGTCTTTAACTAGCGCTCGATCTGAAGGCCTACGAGTCTGCTCTTCTTCTCTTGAAGTAAGTCAGACCCGATTGCTAAAGCATGTTAATTCCTGGAATACACAAGAATGCTAATTTATCTTACGTGAATTATACAGAAAAGCGCTTTTAACACTGATTTCATCACGGGAAAGTAACAGAAATGAAATAAACCTACTGACCTTGTCTTTTTCAAAGCTTTCTTTTGCTTTCGTGGCTACAATGTTCTACCTCACTTCGAACTTAACATTCAAAACGTTGTAAGTGTTTTGCATAAAACCAGACGCAATTCGCTAGGGAGTAACCGTGCAAATAGAGAACAAAACGGGAAATAGATATTGTTATGAAAATCATGCAGTCACAATACCACGCTTTGACAAAAGGAATACTAATGTTTGTTTTAGTTAATCGATTGTACGTGCTTGCATATAACGAACTATGATAATGGTAACTGACTTAAGATAAAGGACTTAATAATCTTGACACTGAAAGTTTCTTTCATTTGAATCTCCATTAAGCGGTCACCTATTTTAAGCAGCCACTTGAATCAGTCGGCCGCGGCTTCCTCATGGTCAATCCCTTCAAGAGAATTAATTCTCCAGTTTTTGCTACTTCCATCAAGCGGTCATCAAGGGCGTGATACACTTGTTTTGGAAATATTTTGAAAAAAAAAAATGATGTGGGAAAATCCAGTGCGAGAAAGAAGGTGGCGACTGATTGTGGACCAGTAGTGCCGCTCCCATCATGCATCTCGTGCTTGTTTCCAAATAAGGTGTTTTGCTATTCCTATTTATATTCACCACTAAGAGACGGGAATGGGTGTGCAGCTCGAACTGTGGAGCCTGAGTGTTTGATGCCGTCCAAATAACATACAAAGTCTGGCAACATCATAACTAAAGAATGGTATACAAATATTCCTAAATAAAGTCACTCAGGCTAAACTATTCACGTGCGCCGCCTGATACGAAAACCCAAAAACCCAAAGGGAAAAAATTGGGAACGTATCCCCCAACCGATGCGATCGCACAGCCTCTGGGGGGTAAAGGTAAAAAATCAATCAACAGATGAATAAAGTAAGATATAAAAATAAAAGTTGATATTTCGAGAGCTGAGATGAATACATTACAACTGTCAAAACCTTATATACCTAATAACAATAGAGTCAATTAACGCCATAGAGGCTCACGTACTTTCATACCCATAGGAAAGTATTCACATTCTCTGTCACTGCCACTACGTTTAGTTCTGCCGAATGTAAATACATAACATTTTGCTAAGTATATGACCATAGTTAATTGAGTGGAATGGTTATGAAACCCGTCAGACTCCTTTGTTATATGTTTTTGTGGACCTGAAAGTGCACAACGTTCAAAAGAATTCCTATCATTTTTATTGTATTGACCAATAAAAACGTTGCATTAATTTATTTCGTAACAATTTGCCAGCAGAAAACAAAGGATTGTGCACTTTCAGGGTGCTTCCAACATAAACTGCAGCACTGTTGTTTTTATCATTGATATTTGCCGCTTTTCATAACCAGTCTCCTCTAATAACTATGATATGACGAACCGCTATTCATTGCGACCAGCCGCCATTAAGCAACCTTTAACTGGTAGAAATAATAGAAATACTAATAATTCCTCTCTCTGTATATTGCATTTTATGGCTGAGTTTTCCGCATCTCCAATCTTAAACGACTCTTCTTGGGAATTTGGAGCGGGCGACGCTTATAAAGATGCAGCCAAGAAATCAACCTGCTTTAAGTATTTAATGGTACAAATAATAAATACGGACTCATCTGTCACAGGCGCCTCTAAATACGGATCGCTGATACCGAGACTTCTTAATAGGGGTACCTGAGTACACTGTCACAAGCTAAGGAAAATTCAGAAAATTGGGTAACTAGAAAAAATGGACATTTAAATCGATTACGCTATTGTTCCCGACGTTCTTAATCTGCCGGGAGAGCTTTTTTACAAGCCACCACACAAATCAGGAATGTGTATTCGCCATTTATTTAGTTTTCCTTTGAAGTCTATTCGGAATAAGCTTTTTCTCTTAACTGACTGACAAAAAAATAACTCTAATTTCCATATCACGGTGCGTTTGGTTTGGTGGGTTACTGAACTTTTAAGGAAAGGGTATAAGTAAGCAAATATCCACAACATAATAAAATGAAAAATCATAATTTATTGACTTTTGCTTAGTTATATATAGACAATATATACACCATAAAGCTGAAAATACTATTTTAAAAAGGCACTACGACTGCCCCCTGGGAAAATGGCCAGTCAGAGTCGAAACCCAGTCCTTTGTCATTTTAGGGCCTGTTTACATGGAGTGGGGGACCCCGGTCTAGTGGGGTTGGTTTCTTTTGTTTTCACGCTCTGGGGAACACAAAACAAAAGAAACCTACCCCACTAGACCGGGGTCCCCCACTCCATGTAAACAGGCCCTTAGTCCATGACACTGCATGTGCATCTGTGAAAGTACGCGTGCTGTGTATACAAATTACCAGAAAGAAGTGCCATTCGTGCAAAGAACAAAAGACGTTGCAGAAGTCTGGTTTACATGAAGCATTACCCAAACGGTTATTTAGGTAATATGTTTTTTCCGCTTTGGCCAATTAATTCTTTATAAATTGCTGTGCGAAAATTACCAATGTTTTTGAAGCGCCTTATCCTGCTTTATTGGGTTGATGATGTGTTGCTTGAATATCAAAACAGGAATAAGAGAAATTCTTTGAACAAAGTCTCCGTATAATCTACACTGGTAAAGAGTTACTGTAGCTGAACATTAATTTTCGAATTGTGCACAGAGTTGGACATCAGTGACATAATATATTGTATGTGTAACTGCAAGGTAGACTTGATTCCAAATTTTTATTGTTTGTATCAAAACACTCCCATTTGCCTCTTCTCGGTGAAATTCTGGGCTGGAGATGAGGACAACTCTGAAAATAAAATTGAGTTAGTCAGTAACCTTTTATGTTCATTTATATGGGAAAAATATCAAAAGAAAAGGAAAAAAGGCAACTTGAGGCCTGCGAATGGCCCATTTGAGCCATTTTTACCATGGTATAATTTTGCTTTAACTCTTAGAATACATTTAATTGTTCTCTGGCGCTAGTTTAAAATTTTGCAATCCAGGAGGTTTCAAAATATAATTGAGGCCGGTGATTACCCAGGAAAATAAAATCTCGAAGCAAAATAACGCTGTCGTAAAACCTTAGCTTGTTTTATCAATGTGGAAAAAAAGAAGCTGTCACCGTACATATAAGAGAACGTGTCGTTATGAACATTCACCTTCTGAGGGTCATTTTTTGAAGCAAGCCCCTATTACATGCTTAAAGGTACTCAAAAAGTGTTACTCAAACCTGTAGAATAAATTGCAATGTGCTTTCGTCCACCGCAGCTTCTCCGAAAGTCACCTTGACATGGTAGCTTGCAGTGTTCATTATCAACTTCCGCGTCATCGTTGAAATAAGCTCCACATAGGCATTCCGACGCCATTAACAGACCAGCGAAAGGAAATGTCTTAGAAGCACAGTGGTTGATGCATACATCCGGGACCATGGCCGGATGCCCTTCGTATCGGTACTTGAGTTGGGTAAGGGATTCCGTGTTGTCAAAGCAACCAATGTATAAACCAGCTGAAGACTTCAAAGGATCTGAGGATTATTGCAATGTATACAATCAAACAAATAACTGTCTCAGGAAACGCGGGAAGTTTAAAAGGTTAAGCGGCAAAGGCCTTTGGGAAAAGTCACTCTCTCTAAAGTGCCTTGCGCGCCTAGAAAATTTATTCCCGAGTTTGCTTGCGATCCACTAGGCCCCTAGATGCTAAAAGCTACTGATATTTAGTGTTTGTTACAAAAACTGTGATGTAAAAGACTACGTTGTCGCAGTAACTCAGTACAACACGTTCCAACAAAGTACTCTTAGTTAAGTTTAAACTATTTAAGGATTTAAATTAACTATAGAATGATTATTATTGAAGCTCTTAATAATCTATGTTATTTTTGTATATCATTGGAATCTGATTAAGACAGACAGGAATCACAGTACAGTGTGACAGCCTGAATGTTTGACTGCATGATTGTCTACCAAACTAACAGAAGGACCTTCTCTACCATTACCTGAAGACTCATTGCTTGCCTTACAGAAGTTTGAATACCTTACTAACTGACGCAATTTGTGATCGTGAGAAACGGGAAGGAACGAAAAAGTGAACAACTGACTCAAGAATAAATATTGACATTTATTCACCAGCAAATTCGGGTGAATCATCGTCTTCTGATTGTGGAAATTCGTCGTCTTGCTCTTCGTCAGTTTCATATTGTGAGTCATCAGTATCTTCGCCTCCGTGGCTGATACTTGCTAAGACTCTTGGATCTTCGCCTATTAAGGGGGCATCTTGTCGCTTTAGACCCACTTGTTCTATGTCTTGTGCTGGACTGGGATCTAACAACGATAAGATAAACCACATAGACTATGGTAAATCATGGACAATAAAACACTCCTAACAGTTGCGCGAGAGATAAATCACCTAGCCTAGGTATGCATAAAATCATAAAACAAATACCTGGTAAATGGAGTTCAATGACGACTGGATTACTCCCAGGACTCAACGTGAAGGTTTGAGTGGTGTTCAGTCCATTGGGAAGTTGTAATGTCACCTCGTAATCTCCGAAAAATCCACGTGTTTCAAAAAAGGCCATTGATTGGTCAGTGAACGTGGGAGATAACGTGACGTGTGTGGTCCATTGATGCAGGAGTCTGCGATATCGCAAACCAGCGGCGTTAATCTACAGATGCAGAATAGAAAAACAAGATAGATCCGTGAGGTTAGCATTACTCAGCGCTGTTTTAGGCCTTTTACAAAGGGGAATCATTAATACAGAAATTAATATTTACTTTAACTCTTTAACTAAATTTTCACTAAATAACCGTCAACCGTCAAAAGCCCTAAAATTTAGCCGTCAACCGTTAAAATTGGAAAGAATAACTGTCAACCGATAAAGCTACCATCCCACTGAGACACTGTTACTATGGAGAGGGAAAACATTGACCAATAGCTGACCGGCCCATCCCCAGTAACTATCCCAGACGTCTGTGCGAAAGCTAAATCCCAAGATTCCTTGTTGCTTGTAAAGTGGCGGATTAGTATCTTTTGGGATCATCATACGTTTCTGGGAAACTGCCCACCTACCCCTCCCCTAAGCCAACATTTTTCCCTAAGTGAGAAGTAAGTGTAAATGTTGGCTCAAGGGAGGGGTAGGTGGTATTCTTTGTTACCTGCCAGTCGTTTCCATCCACAAGAGAAGTGTACGGACCTCTCCACGAACTCTGGCTCCAGAAACTCCACAAAATCAATCCCTGGACATTTGGGTTGCTGAATGCAGCTCTCATGACAGTTTCTAGCGCATCGGCTCGTTTAAACGGATTTTTCTCAAGAACGTCAACTTCTGTCAGCCATATTGGAATCTTGGCCTTACTTAGCATGTTCAAATAATACTGCAATAAGTGAAAAAAAGGGAGTCACAAAGTGTCAACTAATTCATTGGATTTTATGCGACTTTTTTTCCAAATGACACAATCAAACTTTGAAAACTTCGCCCCGGCTATTTCAAACTCCCTCACGATTGGTTTGGAACACCAACATGGCCGACGTTTCGTTGTTCCGGAACATCAATATGCCGCCGCCGTGACGTCATGTAGAACTGCTCTATGATAACTTTTAGCAAAATTTGCGGCAATATTTTGCATTTTCCATTGACTTACATAAACACTATAATAGGATTAGATAATCGCATAGTTCTAAATCTTTCTTGGTGATACTGTCCTTTTAAGTTACTAGTCATCTCTATTTCGGCGTACTAGGTTTACTTTCGAGTTTGTTCCTCCATGATCAGAGGCTGATAGATTACCTGGTACTGCCTCCACTTCTCGACATTAGTTAAGATCAGTGAGTTTCAGCCCAGTTTTAAAGATTTGAGCAGGAGATAATAACGAGACATATAGGTAATCTTAGGGCGTTTAAGAGGTTGTGATTAAACGGAAGTCTTATTCCTGGGACGTCCGCACATTTGATCATTGTTTGAAACGTCATCAAGTCCATGCGCACGACTTCCTCAAAGCGAACAATGCAGAATGATGTAATGTCAACAAACCATGACAGCACAATGTCCCAATACTCTCTCTTTACAACACTGAATAAAAGTTCGCAGACCTCATTGGAAATCAACTTACGTTTAATTAGTCTAAAAATAACTTTGGTGAAATTCACATATCCTAATGGCTAGACTGGGTGCTTTCCTCTCTTTTCCATAATTCTCCCTCCGTACGGTTTGAGTGACTATCTCACCTCTTGGTAGATAAAAGCCGACTTTGAAATTCATTATAAAAGTGTCAAAAACTACCGTTAACGTATTTACCTGAAGAAGTGTCGGATTCACGTGACCAGTGAAATGACCCTGAACTCCAATTCCGTCCAGGGGAATTCCTCGTGATAGTAAATCCTGGACTTCTTCAAGAAAGGCCTGGTGAAATTGAGACGCATAATTATGTTTGTCATTCCGATACACAAGCAAATCAAAAATTTTAAGACTTTGGGAAAATAAATTTGTCCTTTCCGCAGTTCTTAAAAGTATCTGCAAGGAAACTTTCTCAAACTCACTCATTTTCTTAATGCAAATAGGGCTTGAATAAACATTTCAGTGAGTGATTGTTGCTTAAACTAGCCTTTCCCTCCACTAACGTCCAAGAATTTTTAACGGTAAATTATAACTTACCTGGGTTAATTGTCCATTTTCTACAGCATCGAAATCGTTGACAAACAAATCAACGCCGGGATCAACACTAGCCGCTGTTAAGTACATCCAGTCTCGAATGGCTAATCCTTCGCGGTCCGCGAAAAAAGAACCATGTAGCATTTCATTGTTAACATCCCATTGCATAAAGCTACAAACGTAACAGGTAGGGTTAATCTTTTACGTCAGAGGCTTAAGGTTTTTTCATTCCTTTAGAAAGTGTTGAAACAGGGCCGCCCAATTCCAGAAAGGTAAAACATGTTCCAAGTTTCTTCTTTTTGCAAGCCCTTTCTACCGGCGTGCATAGCTAGGTATCGCTAAGGGAAACTTGGAATTCCTCATATACGAACAACACATTTCGAAAACAATCTGTTTTTTAAAAGAGGATAGGAGCACTGACTCACCGTCCTCGATATCTAAAGAGAAGACTTTGTAATCTATCCTTCATCTTTTTCTTGAGCTTATCGCTTGGAAGTTTCTTCGCCCAAAATGGAACCTCTGTGTCAACCGCCCAGAAAACGCAATGGCCACGGATCATCTTGCTAAAACGCAAACAATGTGGCATAAATATTATGAGTGAAATGACCAAACGTTACCTTCAGGACTGATTTAACACAAACATTTCTACCAGGGATGAAGGTAAAGAAAATTAGGGAAAACGCACATACGTTTGAAGAAGTCTCTAAAAAATGGCTAAGAATTTAAAAAATTCTCAAAACTAGAAAAAATATACAGAAAATCACATGTTTTGCAGCATTTATCACAGTTTTTGCACAAGAAAATGCATCTTAACTACGCATTACGAGGCATCCTGGGTGCAGTCGAGAGCTTCCTTTTTTCTCTTATTGAGAGAGGGGGAAAGTAAGCGTAAATAGGGCATGAATTTCTGGTACCTATTCAATACTCAATAGGTTTCAAAATTTAGATTGACATGTTACCTGTACTGTACAAGGAGAGTTATCAGGAAGCACTATCATCATAGTGGTATAACAAGGAAAACCTTGAGTTAGCATGGCTTACTTGTTAGCTTGGAGGAAATCCACAGCTTTATCCGCAATGTCATAACTTATGTGACCCTGAAGCGAAATGTACCTAAAATAAGTTCAAAACGCAAACGGTGCGTCAGTTATAACACACAGTGCAGTTAGAATAGTAAATTTGCTTTTTATTTTGCGTATTTCGACTCTAAGAACAACAAAATAGTACCATATGGGGTAATTCGTCTGACACGACAAGGAGTGTTTCATGTGAAATCCAAACACTAACACTGGTCAAACACGATAAGCAGCATTATTTCATCTAAAATCCAAGCACCAAAAAGTAATATCTAAACTGATTCCTGAACACAGAGAAATGTTATGTCAACACGTTTAAGAGTGTTTCAACAGATAACCAAACACCGATAAGTAGTATATCAAACACTAGAAGGAGTTTTTTTCCCAAACACCGAGGAGTGATATTTTAAACACGAGAGGGAGTGTTTGATCCGATATTCAAACACTGAGAAGCTACATATCATGACCAAACAAGGGAAGGAGTGTTTCATCTGATGTCCAAACACTTAGAAGTAATATATCAAATACGAGGATCGAGTGTGTCATCTCAGTTGTATCCAAACACAAGAAGGAGTGTTTTATCTGATATCCAAACGCTTAGAAGTAATATATGAAACTCGAAAAGAGCTGTTTCATCTGATATCCAAGCACCCAGAAGTGATAATTTAAACACGAGAAGGAGTAATTACTCTGATATTCATTTGCTTCAATCCCTTTATGTATCGCGTCTTTTAATGCCCCCAAAGCAAATAAGTAGTTTTTGAGTACGTGATTGAAAAAAGTCATGACTCTAGTAAATAACTCACCAATTTAGGTTCGACGTAACCCCATTTTAGAGAACTTTCCAGGACGGCCCACTGAAAGTTTTTCAGGTAAAAATCGCGATATTCGGGTTTGTGCAGCAGGAAGTTACTATTCACAGCAGCACCAAAGGCAAAAAGATGCGATTTCTGTTTTACCTACAGGAAAAAACGTCATGTTTTACATACGGGTACATTTTAAGATGCGCATAAACCAGGCGACAAACTTTTTACACGTCAATGTGCGCGTAAACCAATGAGAGTATGAATAGAGTAGAACATTAAAAATGGAATAAAACAGCTGCAATTTCGTGGTTCTGGTTGGGAAACTTGCTAGTACCTTGCATGTTCACTACACTATAATGTATCTAGAACCCAATTATCCCAATGAATGGACAGGTACATTGTTTGGAAACGTTCTGCTGAACGGCTGTCTTTGGAGTGGTCATTGTATAGGCCTTCTTCACAAAGTCCAATAATTCAAACTTCATTGAACCGCCCGATCAACAGTAAAGCAAAAGGACTGCTTGGTAGCTTTCATTTGAATGATTATACGTCCTAAGAGTCAAAGCTTCGTGAGAAAGCCAAGTAAACATAACCAAAGGTCTCTGCCGAACATTTTTGATTTACAGAAAGATCAGAAATTGTATAATGTAAACATAGCCTGAATGTCCACTAACATATCCAACTTACTTTGATCTTAAGTTTCGGGAGCAGATCTGAAGTATATCGAGAGCCTGTGATATTCACTCTGAAAAAAAAAATCCATAATATAATTATAATGAAGACTTAAAAGAAAACGATAGAATTGAGTTCATTTTCCTAAAACCAAACTGATTTCAAACCTGAATTGAATGTTTCGTTTCCTGTATTTATTGATCAATACATCACTGCTCCTTTTCCAATCAGATGGCTGTAATATTTCCCCAAGATACAAGTCATCCAATAGAATATCGACAGTCGGCTTTGGTCCTTTGAAGTAAATAAAGACGAACTGGAATCCTGCTCTGGCGAGCGGCATCTCAAACGCAGTCTGCCATTGCACCCAGCCATAGTCTAGAATGTAAGGAAATATGTTTTTTTTGCACTAGTGGTAAGTATGACAATTATTATGAATACTAGCCTTTCAGGTCAATTCAGCCTAGTCTGCCCAGACGTAACCTGAGATCAGGCCCAAGTTTAGCAGTTCTTATGCATTCTCTCTTAGGAAACGAAAATAGAGCCTGATCTCAGGTTATCCCAGACGTCTCTGATATAAGGGGAGCACCTCCACCTCCGCCCCCCTTTCCCACCTTGCGCGCTAGTAAGATAGAGGGAGAGTTCGTGGGGGACATTGACAGAGTTGGAATTTCAATCTCGTTCTCATGGCCATTTATTTTTCGATCCCACCTCAACACCCTCATGGTCCAGCTATATGAAACTTTTAGGGTGAAGCTTTAAAAAAATCATGGCAATATTAGTAAGAAGGCCGGTCTTGAACATGTAGTACTGAATGTGGTTTATCATTTATTCATATTTACCTTGTGAATATTTAGTTCTCTTAGCAAGCAGTTTATTTTTCTGTTCCTTATCTCCTCTTTTCTTATACCTGAGCCACAGCTCAAGACTGTGAATGTCTCCTGTTCGTTTGCGATCCAAAAGCTTTGTCCATCCTTCAAACTTGTAGACTCGACCTGGCAAAACTCTGTTTCCTGTGGAAAAAATTAGTCAGAGCCTCGGATAGAGGTTATGAGTTTAGCCATCGTGCCCCCCATTCAGACATTCATTATTTCAGACAAATTAAATTTTCCTTGATATGGATGTTTTTCGCTATAACACCCCCAATCAAGGACATTTAACTTGGATTACACTGCCCTGATGCCTGTCCTTTCTCTCTTCTAATGTTGTTTTGTAATGGGTTTTCGGTGGAATTGTCCAAGTTCGAGGCCAACATTGAAAGGAACAGGGAAAAAGGACGTTGAGCACAAGGAGCACAACATGTCAACGTTATTCCTTCAATTGACCCAAGTTCTTATGTCACGGATTGCAGTTGCACTACGAAGGGGACAAATCAAACCAATTGACGACAGGAATTACAATTGTTACAGTTGTAGGAATTCACACTGCTCACCTACGTACTGTCCAGGTCCTGCCCATTCAGACAATCGAGCCAGACAAATCCCACTGTATTGTCCTTGCTTTGGATATTCCTGGGTATACCGTGCAATAACACCGCCCCGAGGATCATCAGTCTCGCCCTGACAGCTCCAACCTTTTACCGGGTCATTAATCAATGGATCCTCAAAGCTTGGATTGGTCAGAATATTCGTTCCACTCACTGGAGGTCTGTATACTGAAATTCAAAGACGAAGTAAATTCATTTTTGAGGAAACCATTTATAGAAATTAAACCAAGCACGTCAGTAGCCTGAGGGTCCAAGTAGGGTACAATCGGAGCAAGACGCAATTAGATTATTTGTCAATTCTAATAGCTGCTTTNAGTTGCACTACGAAGGGGACAAATCAAACCAATTGACGACAGGAATTACAATTGTTACAGTTGTAGGAATTCACACTGCTCACCTACGTACTGTCCAGGTCCTGCCCATTCAGACAATCGAGCCAGACAAATCCCACTGTATTGTCCTTGCTTTGGATATTCCTGGGTATACCGTGCAATAACACCGCCCCGAGGATCATCAGTCTCGCCCTGACAGCTCCAACCTTTTACCGGGTCATTAATCAATGGATCCTCAAAGCTTGGATTGGTCAGAATATTCGTTCCACTCACTGGAGGTCTGTATACTGAAATTCAAAGACGAAGTAAATTCATTTTTGAGGAAACCATTTATAGAAATTAAACCAAGCACGTCAGTAGCCTGAGGGTCCAAGTAGGGTACAATCGGAGCAAGACGCAATTAGATTATTTGTCAATTCTAATAGCTGCTTTGATAATGAGCTGTTGCACTTCGATTGTTCTATTTTGCGCGCCTTTCTAAAGCTAATAAGAAGAGAAAAATTCCCTAAAATTGACAAGCGTCTTTAAGCTAATATCCTAACACCTAGCTACCACTCAATCGCTGAGGTGATAAGCACGTACGTTACTCTGTTCCCCCTCTCCTTGCCTAGCCCCTGCTTCAACCAGCTACTCTTTATACATTGTTCTCACTCAGGTGGTCAGCAGCAGAAAATTTCTTGGAAAAGAAAGTTTTTACATAAAAAATATTTTTATATTTGTACACCAATATGGCCGCCGTGACGTCAACTGTGAAAAGATACGTAAGTGAAATTGCTTGCGCACTCAGAAAATCACCTACCACCAAAATCGCGTTCGTCGATTTCCTTAAAGAGAGGCTGCAGCATTACCGGTCTCACGTGACCACCTTTAACCAATGGGTGTCTGGCAGCATTTGATGGAATATTCTGAGCAAAGTCGTTCTTTTTAATTGCATATGTGGAGCTGTAGAGATCATAGATGAAGTTTCTTTTTTCCTGCTCTTCGTCTAGGTGTAAGTGGCGTTTGTTTCCTGGTGATTAAAGCCTCTAACATTACAGACTGATTTTTTCCAATGAAAATTTGCTCTGTGGAGTTTTCTGGCTTTTCGACCTGTTTTTCTCAAAATCGAATGACACTCAGTCAGAGAGAATGGAGCGCTTTGCAGCTCATACAAAGAAACAATAATTACGATTTATTGTATGAAACTATTATTTTCCTGAGATTCAATTGCCCAACTTACGTTGTGGTGTAAAAAAACACATATGACATAAAAATTACAGTTTTTAACAACAATGGAAAATTAAAAAATGAAGATGTTATTAAAAGGAAAATAATATAATAGTTAGTTATATGGGATGAAGCAGTCGTCAATTTCGAATAAAGTTTATAATTGGAAAGTGTCTTGGACACTTGCCAAACAGACAGATTGCAGAAACGTTGGTCTCGACAATTTTTGGCTAACTGCGCGCCAAGAAAGTGTAATTAAGAAAAATTACAGAAATTAATGTTGATGTTGTTGTTATCGTGCGTCCAAATCGAATTCTGTGTTGTAATTACCTTCCAAACTGTAGACGTCCATAGCTGTTGGTCCCCCTGTGCCATTGTAACACTCATAAGATGGACCATACCTCATGTAGGTCAGTGCGGCGTGCACGCTACCCAAGCATTCCGAACTGTTTCTTATTCCAAACACAGGGATCCCACGCGAGCGCGCGGCTAGAGCACAGTCATGTACTGCTGAAACGTGATTCTTTGAGGGTGATAAGTTGAATTTCGGAAGAAACTTGCTGTCATTGCTGGGAACATATTTCCAACAACCGAGGTAATCATAAACTGCAGGTAAAAATCGTACACTTTTGTTAGATACCTGCGTTTGATACTCAAGCTTACAATTCGTTATGAGCAATTGAAGCATGGGCCGAGTTAACTTTTGCACAGACTTCTGGGTCTCTTACTGAGGACAGGGAAAAAATTGACCAATAGCTGACCGGCGCTTCCTCAGTATCCCAGAATCCCAGAAGTCCCCACAATCCCAGCAGTCTTTTCGAAAGCTAACTCGGGCCCAGTTTCTTTCTCGTTTGTAAAGAGGCGAAATGATGTACCTTTCTGTGCGTATAAAAGTTCAAAAACTTCCAGCAGCACAAATATTAAGAAGCCTTTCATGGAGCTTTCATGCTCTATTACCACCTGTCTCGTCGTCTCCAACCCTTCCTATGATCGTTCCTAAATATACACCTCTTCAAGAAACAAACAAACAAACAAAACAAAACAAATAATCAATGAATATAAAGTGTTGAAAGTAAGGTGTTTAAAAGATCAGGAGTTAAACTTAATAAAATCCAAATTTATTCTTCTGGAATCAATCTGGATATAAGGGAAAGAAGTAAAAAAGTAATTTGGAGCTGAAATGTGTCCCGCAATTGTTTCTTGTATTGTTACTGAGGGTGCGCTGATTAACTGTTTGCCAATTTTTTCGCTATCCCTAGCAACAGTTCCAGACGTCCTTGCGAAAGTTAACTCGGTCTAGTCTTGTTTGAGTTTCTAGAGTAGCGAATGGGATTGAACAGTTTCTAAACTGGCGGACGATTGTAAATTGACACTGACATGAAAAGCGTTCAAGAACAAGTTAACGCGATAAACTGCAGTAATAAGTAGTTGTATAATCGCAGAATCTCAGTATGCACATAAGTTTGTTGTAACATTTAAACGAGCACCTTCAAATCAAACCAATATCTACATTGTAGATCCTCTGTATTTTTACAGGTGAACAAAAACAAGAAGCAAATCAATTCCAAACAAGAGCGTGTAATGTTAAAAACTCTTATTACGACAGTACCTGTCTGCAGGGACGCAGCGAGCCTCATGTTCGCACTGGTTTCGTATCGAAAGCTGCGGTCCAAGTTTTCAAAAGATTATTGCTTCGAGTGGTTCACGATTTGCCCCTATTGAGGGAAAAATGTAATGCGAACCGCTGTTTACTTCCTTAGTAAGAACTTCACCAAGAAATCCAAAAACAGTCGTTCTAGAAATCGTAAACACCATGAATATCATTAAGAAGATCGAAATGTACCTACAATTAGATTTGTATTCAAATTCTTAGATTTGACGTTCACAAGTCATCGGCGTAACATGCGTTTCATTCTTTCATTAGAGTGAAAGAATTTCAAGACATGTCCTCATCCTGCGATGTTTTTCTTTTGAAGGTGGTGATTTCCACATGGAAATTTCATAGGAAGTGGAAAAGATCACTTTAGTCAAGTGTCAACGACAGGTGACTGACCTATGATTGGTGCTTCAAACATCTTTCAACACCTGCAAAAGTTAATAGGTGTTGATGCCTTGCTCATTCAACCAGCAGACTGATTTAAAAAGTAAGTTTGTCATTTGTCTGGATTTGAAGAGGAGATCGGATGAAGCAATGTGTGTGTTCAGATTGGCCACCCAAGCAGGAAAGATTAGCCTCTCTTCGCCGCGCGGGATTCCCTTCTTAAGTTGCAAGAAATAAAAATACTTTTGGACATATGATAAATCGCTCATTGAGCTGCCTTAGCGTTTTGTGTCAACATAGCTCGACATTTGCCTCTTTAATTTCTTTTTTTGTGTTCCATAAAAATACAAAATATCAGTAAACATCTCGTCATGTTGACCTCAGAGCTCTTGGTACGTCAATAACACGGTTTTTACATACACGGATTTTTGGTCCCATATGGACCAATAATAAGGACCCTTTCGTTCCAGCGGAACTCAATACGGCGTCCAAACAAGCACGCACTTGACCTGGAAAGAATCCTCAAGAAGCAAACTAAATAAAACTTCATTCGGCTTTTATTATATTCAAGATTTTATTTTCCCTAAAATCAGGCTTAAGCTATCCAGCTCATCTAAATTATTTTCTCCTTTTAGTCGTTAGCCTTTGTTTTTTCGATAGTTAAATCTTGTAGTCCGATTCTATTTTTATTACTTTTTTTGCCTTTTTTAGTCATCTAGCCTTATTAGCCTTTTAACTTTATAACCACTAGTTTTTTAGATTTGATTGTTATTAGTAGTCTTAATATTATTTAATCTTAGTCAGAGGACCTCCCTAAAAATCACTTTATGTGATGGGAGGTTTCCTCTATAAAGATTATTTTATTATTATTATTATTATCATTATTATTATTATAGCGATACAACTTATAGATAATCAAAAGGTTTATCCGTGATTTAAAGCGAATTCTACTATCACTGACATTTTCTTGTTCGAAATAGGACTTTACTGCGATTGCAGTCCCTCTATAGTGCTTTAAATTTTCCCAATTCCCCCTTTTTTTAAAAAAGTGTCGTTTTCCCAAAAATACAGTAAAGGTTATAGGCGATCTTCGAAATATAAAAAAAAATTCAGACCTGGTTCCGAAGCTAAGGGGTGCAAAAAAAGAAATCACATTGAGATTCAGGGATTAATAATTCATTTCTTTGGTTTTACTCCCTCGGAACCTAGTTTGGAAGTTTAATAATTCTCCACTCCAGAGACTATCATGAGCGCCCCCCCCCCCCAAAAAAAAAAAACAAAAAAAAACAACAACAACAACATACTGAAACGTTTTTGACAACACAGGTCTCGCGTTATCAGAAACAGCTGTACCCAGTCATAAGTAACGCTTGTCCACCCAGACGATCCCAGATGTCGTTGAGCCCCCCGGCCGAAGGTGTGTAACGATCCTCCTTATAGTTTCTGGAGTGAAGAATTTCGACCGCCTATTATTTTAAATCTAGGTTGATATTTAACTTACACTTTGTGACTACATCACTACATGTTACCAAATAATTTATCAGCTTATGAACCGGCAAAGGCCTTAATGAGGCGGAAATCTACACACATCGATATTCAATTTTCAAGGATCTCAAGATTGCATTTTCACAGTTGTTGTTAATTCGCACTCTACATACTTCGCTTCTATGGCATTCATTTTTAATTATTTTATATACTTTCGACCAGGGACAACGCACTGTTCCTTCGTCACTACAATCCATACAGGAGCAGTTGCATTCCATGTACTTCACCGATGTCAGATGGATTCTTCCTCTGTCTTCAAGTAAGCATTTATCCAGCAAAACAGGTTTGTTTCCACAAACATCAGCTGAGTGTCTTTCTCGTCCTAAAGCTGTTACAAGAAAACGTACAAAATTATTTCATAAGTCCTTTCGATATTCTGACATCTTCTCCTACTATGGTGCAAAATATACTATCTCCTACTATCTATGATATGTTGCCTCGCTCCTGTACGGCTCTCCCCAGGCCCTTGCAGTCAGTTCAGTTCAGCGACGTGATCAAGACCTACAAAAGTCATCACGTGACCATCCGATAAATATAGACTGCGTGGCAAAAATGTTTAGTCCTTGGAATTAGGCAATGTACGTGACCCAAGTATTGTTTAGGGTTAGGAAAACACACCATTAGTGACTTCTCTTCCGAGCAGCTGCTACATGACCCATATACGTATAACGGAATGTAGGAAGGGCCTTGAAGAGGTTTGAAAAGAAGAAAAAAAAAACTTAAAGTCATTAACATGTACAACTGAAAAAGGGTACCATGGTTTTTTTCTTACCTTGGCTTAATCCATCCAAATAATCAACCCAACTTCTTTCACATACATCGGTACTTTGTATTTCAAACACAGCTTCGGGAATAGGTTGGTCTGACATAGATAAAACTAATAATAATGATAATGATAATAATACAATAGCAAAAACAAAAGATACCTTAAAATTCCGAAAATAAGCCCCTCCATGTATAAGCCCCCCAAACTGGTAACGCAAAAAACCCTCCGTTAAATCGCCCCTCCAAATATAAGCCCCCCCAGGGGCTTGTACTTGGAAAATTGCCTCAAATGCAAAGTAAAACAACGCAAAAACGTTAAATTTACTTCGAACTATAAGGCTAGCCCAGGTAAGCCCCTCCGAATATAATTATAAGCCCCTCCAAAAATAAGCCCCTCAAAAAGGGCCTTTGAAAAATATAAGCCCCCGGGCTTGTTTTCGGAATTTTACGGTATTGCACGATTTAAATTTATCTTTGTCACTTTCATAATCTAGGCATGATAATGATCAGTGACAATGATTTTGACAATGATGATGATGATGATGATGATGATAATGATGATGATGATGATGATCACTGATTAGACTTAATCATTCTTAGCATTACGGTTCTTTTTATGCAAAATATTATACAAGGCTCTTTGTAGAAAAATAAAAAGGTATTGGTACGAATTTTAAATACTATTAATATACTATTAAGGCCACATTCTAATGTCGAGTTCTTCATCAATTTTGATTCATTATTGATTAAAGAAAGTATATATTGTGATTTCCTTCTTTTTGAAATTTGTTATCATTCATTACCACACCAAAAAATAAACAACAAAAATAAAATTCGCACCAAGTATAAAATTGATCTACAACTACACTCCTGACTATATTTATATTTGCTTCATCTTCAATAAAAGTTTGGCTATAACTCTCCAACTCCCCATTGATATAGTTTATTTCATCCTAAGTTCACCGACAAACTCGTCTTTTTAAGCATGCCATGAGCGCTCGGCCATTAGGCCTTGTCACAGCGGTAGATTGTCAAAGGGTTGAGTCAGTTGAGTGGAGTAAATATTTTCAACTCATAAGTTTTATTTAAGGGCTTGGTTTGATCTAATATACACAGACACCAAGACTCGTCTGACCGGAAATGTCTTAATTTTCCTTAATACTTACTATAGTCTGCCCAACGGCAATTCCTGTGTTGTGATTGATTCTGTGGGAAAATAATGAACATCAATAATTAAATTGCATAAAATGGTAATTAAAATAAACAAAAATAAATAAGCATAATCAACCTAGATATCGTAACCTGTACCCTAGCATAAAATTATCTTTTAAGGGAGATAGAGAGAATTTACTGATAGTGACAAAGGCAGATAGTCGAGTAGAACTTGACAACTTTTATCATTCAAAAATGAATAATTATATAATATAATGATGATTCTACCATATTTTTAAAATGAATACAAACCGTTACAGGCTGCAACTGATGAAAAACGGACTCCCTGGCAAAGATGAGCGTATCGAGAGCGGCGCATTCGTCGAGAAAACCACATTCATGTAAAAAACAGTTTTTACCTAAGGCCTGCTTATCAAAGCTGTATGATAAACATCTTGTGTTTTCAGCGCAAGATCGTAAACACTGAAGCCAGTCGGAAGTGAAAATCGACCCAAATGTCTTGCCTAGAAAGAGTCTATTTTCGAGTGTGAAAGAGCTGAACAGCGTTAAGCTAGAAGGTCTAGATCCAAGAAGAATCGTTGCGATAAAACAAAAGAAAGGAGAATTTTTCATTTCTTACACCTTCTCTCACAGCAGGGTTTGTAAATGTGAAATGGCTCTCACTTCAGAATTGTTTTTATGCTGAAGGAAGATTGTTTGAAAATAAGCACTTCTTTTTCCAAAATGAAAAATACGTTTTTGTTTTTGCTGCTTATATATTTCTGCGATAACCAATAGGAAGAACTTTCGTAGCAGCTGAAATTGTCAACATTGTTCTATCTCGGTGAGGTATTATTAAACCTCCTGTGGTCTCTACAATTATTCTTTTTTTGTTGTAAAATGGATACCGTGTCATTTTTAGCTCGGTGTATTCTTTCATGTTAGACCACATGATGATGTTTTATATTAGTACTCCTACTTACTTCAATTTATGAATTTATACCCCAGCGAAAATGGGTGGAAACCCAGACATGTCAGTTGGCGTTTCTCTTTTAATAAACAACACCACATGGCTTAAGAGAAAAGTCTGTTTGGTTAATCTTCCCTAACATAACTTTGGCTGGTAATAAATGGAACTAAGCTGGAGTTGGCCTTTGTGTTTTTTAGCATTTTTATCGAGAAGGCTGTAAATAGTAGCAAACTATAATGTTTGTTTACGTTGAGAATTAATTATTTGCTTGCGAAAATCATGAAACACGACATGTCCATGTTTGTTGACGGCTTTGGAATTCAGAAAAAAAAATTATTACCTTCCACACTTTACCACAAAATATCCTGTTTATATATAATATGGGCGAAAACCGATTTATCATGATCAGTCCAACACTGTTTGCCGATCGACCGAGCAGGAAGAACATAAATATAATGTCCACCTTTTTTGATTTATCATAATCACCCTCCTAAATATTTGATCAAAATAGCTATAATTCCATATTTCTACAGAAGCAATTAATTAGCCAAAAAATAAAAACTCTGTGGTCAGACGCCGCTAACAAAAGCGTAATATTGAAAAAAAAAAACCTTTCAAAAGACACATACATTTGTATACAGAGTAGTTTTATTTATTTTATTGTGTGCTATCGTATTTGCTAATACAAACGCCTCCTGGCTCATACATCGAGATACAGCTGAATATTAAGCACGAAATTTACCGTCTTTTTTATACGTCTGAACGTTTTATGCAAACAATATACAAAACTTACAAAAAAAAACGTTTCATAGAATGCGAGCCATAAGGCAATTGCACAAAGCAAAACGCAAAAGAAAAGCCTGCAGCAAAAAATTTGATATCATCCAAAAGTAAACTGAAGAAACGACAAAAAAAAATCTGACTAAAAGTTCAGTTCGCTTAATTTACAATGAATTAAAGTAAATAGTTTAAAAAATCCTTGAATGCTTCTCTAGAAGTCATTAGAATTAATGACTCATTTATCGCCTAATAGCGTCCTTCAGATATACAGTTTGCAAAGCGTGGCTTTTATAAATCACTAATCTCAAATGGTGCAGTTTGTTTAAGGTGACTCGACCCAGTTTTTTTGGGTGGGTACCATCCTACTTTGAAGCTCTCTCAGAAGCTCTCTGGTATCCCCACCTTTATTTTATCGTAAGTATAACACATAGAATGGATAACATATAGATCAATCTACAATATAACATAAAATTTTTGGCGATCGGAGTAAATGTCACGTGGTTATAATGCCATGCCCCTTTAAGGTCTGAGTCGAAAATCTGCTGTTGCCAGCATTTTTTCGTGAAAATCTTTCGGCTACACATAGTGCGCATTAGTGCCTTGCGCTGAACAGAGTTTCACCAAAATCGCAAAGACCCAATTCGAGAAATTCAGCGGTTTCCAAATTTAGGTCATAATTTATGCGAAAATGATAAGCAAACTTTACACGGATTATTTCTAATAAACTATGAGATTCATATCTGTATTTTGGGCATCCTTATAACAGATGGGTCCTTGCATTTTTTTTGCAAGTCAGCAAAACGCGTTAGGGTCTTGTAAATGAATCTCATAGTTTATTAGAAATAATCCGTGTAAAGTTTGCTTATCATTTTCACATAAATTATGACCTAAATTTGGAAACCGCTGAATTTCTCGAATTGGGTCTTTGCGATTTTGGTGAAACTCTGTTCAGCGCAAGGCACTAATGCGCACTATGTGTAGCCGAAAGATTTTCATGAAGAAATGCCGGCAACAGCAGATTTTCGACTCAGACCTAAAAGGGGCGTGGCATTATAACCACGTGACATTTACTCCGATCGCCAAAAATTTTATGTTATATTGTAGATTGATCTAGATGTTATCCATTCTATGTGTTAGACTTACGATAAAAGTAAAGGTGGGGATACCAGAGAGCTTCAAAGTAGGATGGTACCCTCCCAAAAGAAACTGGGTCGAGTCACCTTAATAGGAATACAAGGTCATCTGTCTTCCCGACTTTCCTCGTGCGTATTATTCCCATTTCCAGTCTCCCCTCAACATATGAAGGTTAGTTACCACTCTCCCTCATACAAGTGAATACTGTGATCATGTTTTCTTAATAGGATTCGTTGGTCAGTTGCAAACAGTCATAAGCCTAGTCTAAGTCTCGCCCAGTGTAAGGAAATGAAGGACAGTCTTGGATTCTGGATTTCACTCAGTGGATTCCGGATTCCAGGTACTGGATTAAGGTCTTTGTTAGTGGAACTTGAATTCTGGATTCCAATCATTAGTGGGATTCAGGATTCCTGGATACATAATCCGGATTCCAAAAGGCAAACTTTCTAAGATTCCGGATTCCAAGAGCAAAAATTTCCCGGATTCGGGATTCTATAGATTCCTTTGCATCGGACAATACGTTCAAGCATTAAAACTTTTCCCTTATGAAATTCAGAAGAAGTTGTGCGTTTACCCTCGCCGTTAACTCCCAATCCAAAGTGAGTACTGTCTATTCCTCGAACACCTTTGGTCAAATTAAAAGTGTCGAACACAGGAATCCAATATTCTTCAACATTCATTAGTTCAAGTATATAAAAGGGTAGGGAAATCTATCGTTTAAGTGAATGTCAGTCACAGTTTCTTTTCTTCTGAATTTCCAACTAAAATTTACTTTGTAATCATATTTATTATTTTTCGTTTTCTGGCTTATCTGAAAGTTGTAATTTTTAATGTAATATTTCCATTCCGTTTTCACTACACTTCGTGCCCTGTGAAATAGTTTTATACTAATTATTATTTCTTTCCTTCGTTCCTTTCTTTACTTCAATGTAAATATTAAGCAGCAGTCAACTCGAAATCTTTGCAACTTTTGCTACTTCTGTTGCACACTGATTAAAAGAATTTTACATATAGTTATATAATTTCTATCTTTTCGTTTTCTATAGTTTCTTGTATTCT